GCTGTTATAGGAGTCACTGGCTCACAATTATGAGGTGCACTGTGGACCCTATAGGATCTAGAGACAGGGTGCTAGGCCTCCATCCCGGCCCCACATCTGCAGACAAAGGGACCACAGCTACTGATGAAAAGAGACAGTTTCCAAATTAAGATCCCATAATTACATATAGTGACAGTGTCCCTTTCTTGGCCCCCAGAGCATAAAATGATCTTATAAATCTTAAAGGTCAACTAGCAGGTTTTGGGAAGAATTCTGGGGCCATGTTTAGGATCAGCAAGAAAGAGTGCAGTGATCAACTAGATAGGTGTGGGAGAGAGGTGTAAATGCCAGACCAGACCAGTTCCTCACTTAAGAAGGGGGAAGTCAAGGATGTAGTTCAGTGGTAGAGCACATGCTTAGTATGTGTAAGGACTTGAGTTCAACCCCTAGTGATCCATCCATCCATCCATCAATCAATACGTACATAGTTAAACCCAAAGAGATGAAGTGATTGCCCGAGGTCAGGAGGGCTTTAGTGATCAGAACTGGGGTGAAATTTTCCCAGCGATACCCTTCTGAATTCCTTGGAAGGTCCGGAGGAAATTATGACCACCACAAAGATAAAGACAGCAACACAGTTCACATTTATACGACATCAACAGAGGAGTATACACTTAGACAAACTTTAATGGTTCCCAAAAGAAGGGGACTCCAAGCTCCTTCAAGTCAAAGCCTGCCCTCTTGGGGCCAGAGCTGAAGTACCACGGACATCAATTAATACAAGTAATGGTAATGATGTTGACTAAACACCCACCCCACAAACAAAGAGAAAAATCCAACAGTATTCAGAGAGGTAATAGAGCTGGCTATCTCATATACAACAGAAAAAGGCTGAAGGTCAGAACAAGCAGGTCGATGGAGCTATAAAGAAAATATCAGAAGCTAGATAAGCTGGAAGCATAGCTTCATTTGTTTCCTGAGTCCTTGGCTCCACAACTCAAAGGCAAAAAACGTGGGAAAAGGAAACCTTACTTTTTTGTATGTTAGTATCAAATATAGTAGCAAGCACAGAACAGGCGGGTTTCAGACACTGGGTGGTAGGAAGAGGTTCTTCTGCTTAGACTAAGGCAGTCAACCCTAGCCCACAGCTGCATGGCAAATGTCTCAGCAAGAACTCTCCAAATAATGACAGAAACCCAATGCAGACTGACTTTAGCAAAAAGGGGAGAGGTATGATTCATTAAACTAAAATGTCAAGGTTAAATATCATTTCAGGCAAGTTGGAGCCAAGAATTCAGAAGTTGGTTGTTGGATCTTTGATTTACTTTGATTTCTCCTCCATGTTTTGGTTCTTTCCTCTTTTTGGCTCTATTTTCTAGCATATCCTAGATGTGGGTCACAGCCTGTCATTTGTGGGCTTATATCCTTCTAACTTCAAGTCCAGCAGAAAGAAAGAGATGCCTTTTCTAGTAGTTTCAGGAAAAATCTCGGTATGAGCCTTATGGGAGCTGGTGTCAGTGCCTATCCCAGACACACTCACCTGCCTGGGCCAATGGAGCCCTTTGATTGACTATGCTGGGCCCCAGTGCGGTCAGTGAATACTCTTGTAGGACTTGTTAAGTTAACAGCATATTTGAAGAAGGGTACATTGTTCAAGGTACAACTTGGGAATGGGAGGAGCTCAGTCCCTCCCACTCATCCTATTGGACAGAGTAGGGGGAGAAATTTCCCCAAAGGACAATCCCTTCTCCACTGCCCCAAACCACAGGTCTTCCGTGGAGGTGAAGGAGAGCTAGGTACCTTCTTGAGGAGCACCTCAGTGGGAGTGAAAAGAACGGCAGCTGGACCTAGAAGGAAGGGATGGGCAGGAGAGGGTCCTTGAGAAGCCCAGCCCAATTTAGTGGTTAAGGGGTGTTTACCTGTAGAAGGAGAAAGCTGGTTGCTACCTTGGTTTCAGTTCCCTGATAAATGAGAAGAGGGATGATAGTAAAACCCTGAGTCGATGCAGTAAGCTGGATGGTGGCTCCTAGAGTCAGCAGGTCCTCAGCTCTAGATCCTGACTGTCCTCTTACATGGCGGTGCATTTGCAAATGTGACTAAGTTGAGGATCTTGAGGTAAGGAGATAATTCCCAGGATGACCTAAGAGAGCACTAACTGCTTTAGTGTGCCTCTAAGAGGGAGGCCGAGGAGGTTTGGAACACAGGAGAGAACAGCAGTGTGACTAAGGAGGCAGAGACTGGGCTGAGGGGACCAAAAGCCAAAAAATACCAGCAGCCACCAGAAGCTGGATGAGGCAAAGGACAGGTTCTTCCTCAGAACTTCTAGCAAGAGCGTGGCCCTGCCAACATCTTGATTTTCACCACTGGTTCTGATTTCAGGCTTCTGGCCTCTAGAATCATGGGAGAATAAGTGTCCGTTATTGTGGGTCACCGTGTTTGTGGTGCTGTGTTACACCAGCCAGAAGAAACTCGTACAAGTGGTCTGATGAAAGTGTACAGCACAGCAGAAAGGTGCTGGCTGGGATAGAAGGCCAACTGGAACTTTGCTGGGGAGACAGCTACAAGCATGTGAAGCTCATGGGATCGCACAGCCACACTGTGAATAAACAGTTACACCAATATGTAAAGTCATCTTTTCAGAGCTGAGGACTTGCTGAAAGATGGATCTCATACGAAAGAAACCATATGCATCATAGGGCTGATCTATACTCAGGGGAGAATGAAACCTCTTAGTCCCTCTGTAAGGGTGCTCAGGCCACACACACTAACCACTGACACTGTTTTTAGGAATGCCCCTTTGGCTGAGCATGTGTCTTGCTCTTTAGCTAGCCCGCCTAGCCAGCCCTAAGCAGGGTCAGAAATCAGCCTTGAAAGGATGCCTCAGTGACATAATATCTAGCAGGTCCTCTCTGAGGGGTGGAATATTTTTAATCCTCCTGATGGATTTAATCCTGGTCATGAGCTACCTTTCCTTCATCATCCTGAGGCAGAGAGAATAACGGCATTATTTAAGGCAGCTGATAGGTGCAGGACACAGTGTGCAAGGTTCTGTCCTCCTATGTAGCCTTCACAGCAATCTTTTCCATTTAGCCCAATTAACAGATGAGGAAACTGAGGCACAGAGTCAGTAGGTGCACAGCCTGAGGCTACACAACTAGCAAACAGTTGAGCTGTGCTTCAGCCCCAGGCAGTCTGATCTCTGAGCTCAGCCCCAGACCAACAGGGAGGACAGCATGAGGGTTGGAGCTGTGCCATCCCCTCTGCGCCCACCCCTGTTCCCCGCAACCCGGGGGATGGGGATGCTCCACACCCAGAAACCCTCCAGAGACTGCTTTTTGTCAGTTTCTCATTCTTCATGCTGCTACTTTTTAGCCGTGTTACTGATGAGAAAACAGCTTAGTAAAATCAATGGTTTTAAATTATACCTTTATGTACCAAGGATACAAAACAAGCTACAAAACAGAAATACTTTCCCGTGACAAAAAATCAATCTTGCTGATGCTACTGTTCCCCAGGCCGGCTGCCCCCCGCCCCGCCCCCACTTCCCTTACTTAAGACTTTCTCTGCTCTTGCATCTGCCGGCTTTGTATGGACTTTCTTCAGGTTTCTTGTTCGGGAGACTCGTTTTATCTAAAAGGTCAATTCTTTCAGCAGGGCACCCAGCAGAATTGAATATAATTATCCCAATCTCTAGCGTGTAGAATTCATGCTTGAATTCATTCAAAAAATAGCATGCAGTATAATTAACTCAGAGTCCGACCAAATCTATTGAGAAAGCCTCAGGTATCATACAGTTCCACTTACAATAGAACATTTTCATTTAAGGACATTGTACGTATTAACCCAAGTCAGCATCCAATTACTCTGAATAAGTGAATTCTCTGTTCCAGGAATGTAATTTGAAAATGTTGTCATGCAATCTGAGGCAAAAGGTCCTTTTTCATTAATCTAACTCTCATTAAAGTGGAAGCCTGCAGGTTATTTCAAATCCATTAGTTTTAAATACAGGTGATTACAATTCTATTGCACATAAGACAACAGAAGTGTCTATCAAGAAATATTGGGACACTTCGAGGGATGGCACTGGTGAGTGGTTTTGCTGTCACAACTGAGGATGCGATTTGCCAGCTGATGGAAGGAATGGGAAACTGTTTTTTTCTTTTTAATCCTCCAGGGCTTTTTATGGCGTCAACTGGATAAATCCAAACATGGTCCTGCATGCTGCAGAGAGCTTGCTTCTGACCTGTCCTTCCAGAATTACTTCTACCCACTTAGCTTCAGGAGCTCAGTAAAATTAAGACTCCTCTGTTTTAATTCAATAGGAAGCACACAGTCTTGGGACAAATGGCTTCATTTGCCTCAATTCCCCTTCCCCGACCCCGTAGCTCCACCCTACTCTTCCTCTGGCCTCTAATACCAGGCTTTCACTCCCACACAGCCTGCCCTGACTGCCCCAACCAGGAGTGATTGGTTTTGGCTTTGCACCCCTCCAAATTAGCATTTTAGTTATCTTTTTATTGGATTCAATTCAGTAAGTATTTCTAGGAGCTGAGGAAGTAGCTCAGTGGTAGAGTGCCTGCCAAGCATGTACAAGGCCCTGGGTTTGAGTCCCGGTACTGAAAAAATACATACATACAATGTACATACATACAACTAAAAAAATCACTTCTGAAGTGTCTAGCACGGGTGATTTTTAACTCAGTGCTAGAGCTTGAACAATGACACATAGACTCTGCCCTCCAGAAGCTCATATTCTAGCGGGGCTAGTGTCAGAGGACAGATGAGTAACCAGACAGTGACCTTAAGTGCCTCACTCATGCAGTGAGGGGATGGTGGAGGCCCAGGGGAGAATATACTAACCTGAAGTTCCTATCATCTCTTCACCTAAAACCCTCCAGTGACTTCCCATGAGTCGCAGGACAGAATCCACCTCCAGCGTCCCTCTCCTGCCCATCCTCATATCACCACACTTGCTCTCTTTTTAGTAGCACTGGCTTCTCTAATCACTTTCTCTAAATTTCCTTTGTTGTCTCAGGGCCTTTGCACTTCTCCTCTTTATGCTTTTGTTTCCTAACCTCTCCCACTAATACTTTTCTTCCTCTTGCTTTAATTGTCAGCTACCTCATGAAGTTTCCTTAATAAAACTTCTCTGAGATTGGTGACACATGTCTGTAATCTCAGCACTCTAGGAGACTGAGGCAAGAGGATTGTAAGTTCAAGCCCAGCCTGAGCAACTTACTAACTTAACCAAACCCTGTTTCAAAATTTAAAAAAAATTAAAGGGCTAGGGATATAGCTCAGTGCAAAATGGCCCTGGGTTCAATCCCCAGTACCAAAACAAAAACAAAAACAACTTTCTTAGGTAGACTTCAAATTTGAGTTACTCCAATTTTCCTCCTAAATCCTCAGCTACTTGTAATATTGTGTATTTGTTTGGTGAGATTTTTAGCTTTGTCCCTCTGTACCAATGACAGAAAGGAAAGGATTCAGTAAATTGGATTTCTCACAAAATCTATTGTACCTCACTCAGAGCCTAGCATATAGCAAGCACTCAATAAATACTTGATTAATAAAAGGGCTGGGAATGTGGCTCAGAGATAGAAGGCTTGTGTAGCATACACAAAGCCCTGGGTTTAATCCTTGGCACTACAAAACAGGAACTGGGGCTGGGGATTTAGCTCAATGGTGCCGTGCCTTACTCGAAAGTGCAAGGCCCTGAATTTGATCCAAAAAAGCAAGAAAGAATGAATGAATGGCTGTAGGGGTTTTGAGGCAGAAACATGTTTGGGGATTGCCAGGTAATACATGTGGAAGGGAGAGAAGACTGTCTTGTTTTTCAAGTTGGATAGTGCTATTGGGCTGGATTTGTGTAAATGATGAACGGTATATTTCTGCTATTATGTCTACCTCATTCTTCAGTGAGCAGGTTCACCCAAGGGATGAGTGGAAATAGAAATGCTGGTGGCTGGGAGAGACTGAGCCTGGCAGAAGAGGTCACGGGGACTTGCCTATTACCTGGTCAGCTACAGCATCACCACCGAAGATAAGACCTTGAGTATTCCAACCTACAGGACAACCAGGAAGACCTCTCTTTTTAAGTAAGATATATTCACTCCATATCCATCTAGAAAGTATTTTGGTGGCTTTTGGGTACAGACTCCAGAGCTGAGTGTTTGGGGAACAAAAAAATGTCAATCGCTATCTCAACTTTGGAGAGAATTATTGTTGCTTTGAGGAAATAAATCTTGCACAGAGCAAGGGCACTTTCAGGCTTAAAAGTTTACTTACGTCCACTAGCTCTGTTAATACACCACAGGAACCTTCAAGACAAACACAATGACAGAGAAAATGAAGGGATTTCAAATAAGAGAATCTTGAGTTGCTAAAAGTGGCATATCTTGGGAGAGTCAAAATGTGAACCCAAGTCTTGGAAGGCCACAGGATAATGCCTCCTGGTTCAGCACCCTTAGTGAAACAACAGCACAAATACCAGAGGAAACCATTCCCCTTGAAACATTCCCAGGCTTCCCTGAAACAAGCAAGGCCAGGTGTGAATGGATCCATTTGTAGATGGACCCTGCCCAAGGACCCTCTTGCCTTTTACCCTTGGAGAAAGTC